GTTCCTTCTTATTTTCTATATATTTTCACATATTATATATATATATATATATATATATATATATATATATATATATATATATTATGAAGTGGATTAAGTCGCTATCCCCAAAAAGGAGTTCCAGGAATGTTTTCTATCTATCTGTTTCTTTAGAAGGGGACTAACTCGAAAGAGATTAACTACCAAATTTTTACATGGTGTTGTCTTCATTTTATAGCACCAGTCCTGATGCTTTGTGCTCAGACATCGTTTATATGCATCTAGAATTTACGTTTAGTATATTTACATAGATTTTATGTATAGCATATATAAAGAATTCGTGCAAAATTTATAAATAGCATAGATAGAATTTATGTATATGTTTAACTAGAAATTATATATAGTATATACAATGGACTTTATCAATGCAAAAGTTTTTTTGTCATCTATATATATATATATATATATTTATGAATAAAAATGACAATAGGAAAACTGGTAATTTCTGACGCGTTTCGTCCAATATGGACTTTATTAAAGCAAAATAAGTTTTTGTTTTCCATGTCGACAAATATGAAATATGAAATATTTGTCGTCACGCCGCTTCTTGCGTCTAGCATGAAACAGCCTGTCGCCTCAAGTGTTTACTTCCATGTCCACTATTACATTTATATATATATATATATATATATATATATATATATATATATATATATATATATATATTGAACAATAAGAAAATAAAAATTAAAACTTAAAATCATTAGACACACTGGGTTGTAGATTAATATTCTTTCGTTTTTTATTATTATTATTCCATTTAGATTCCTCGACTAGTTTCGACCGAAATGGCCATCATCGGGAGGAGAAATATTTCTGCTTGCTGTTGGCAGTGAACTACAGACATATATATATATATATATATAAACTTTGCTGTTACAAACATTTTCGATTTTTATTGCTATGCTCGAAGTTGACTTTATTTGGGGCTTTAATTCTCTTACACAAAGAGCTTATAGGATTTTAAGTTTTGTTTATTATTATTTTGATCTTATATAGATGTATTTTCAACTAACATCTGCCTAAACCGTGAGTTTGGACGTGAGTGTTCCTTTAAATGCTGTAAGATCGAAATATGCTTTTAAATTTTAAATTTCTATTGATTTGTAATAATTTTAAACTAATTTTCTAATACCAACTAATCTTCAGTCTTCACTGCTTCTATATCGATTCTGCATTATTGTGATTTGATTTTGATCATCGTGTGATAGTTACTGATTCAGGGAAACTCAGTACACAAGTGTGTGGTCGGTTTGCAGCCCAGATATGAGAGTCAAAAGATTATACACTTTTTTCCCTTTTAATAAATTACTCTTTTTATATTGTTGACTTTATCGAAATGCACTTAAATCACACATATGTGCCACTACCGGTCTGCGGAAAGAGAGGTCGACATGAACCCGGTCGGTGGTATAAAAAAGGTTGAAGACCATTAATCTATACCATCAGTTCGTAAAATGGTCGCACCTTGACCTCTCGGCTCAAATCGTTTTCAAGCAATAATAAACTTTGACATCGCTTCCTGCCTCAATCGTTCTAACCAACCGACTTCAACTAAATGGCTTCTTCCTTCTTTTTTTTTTTTAATTAGCATTCCTTCAACCCATGAAACAAAATGAATTCGTCCAATATTCTCCAATTACAGCAACCATCTGGCCTTCATCATCATTCATAACGCAGCTCGGTGGTGGCCGAGGATGTTACCCAACAGCTAAAACGATGTGGTAGGAGTTGTATACATGTGTTTAATTGCTCGAAACGAGAAGTTCTGTTGCTTTATTTCGCCACAGTAATACTCTCAAGATACGAGCACATGGATTCAAAGAAAGGTGATCCGTGGGTTCTTTAAAGTAAAGTGGGATGTCGAAAGAGGAAGTAAAACGGGTTAAAACAAGTATTTGTAACCTGACGGTTGACCCATATCTCAAACACACATACATACACGTAAATATACATACACACATATATATATATATATATATATATATATATATATATATATATATATATATATATAGGCTGGCATCCCGCTCTCACCCTTTCACTGTCGAAACTACTAAATGTAGCCGTCTCTTCTACTCCAATAGCTTCATGTTTCGCACCTCTCGCCTGTGGAACTCCCTTCCCTATGACTGTTTCCCTGAGAACTATAATCTCCAACTATTCAAATGTAATGTCAATCGACATCTCCAGTTGCCTTGATCTATCTACTATCCTTCTCCTCATCCTTTCCTCTATCACTCCTATCTGATCTTGCTCCAAATTTTCTGTAATCCCTTGCGTCCTAGTGGCTTTCCGCCTTAGCAGGGTGAAACAATAATATATATATATATATATATATATATATATATATATATATATATATATATATTGTTGTATGGATGTGATTTTGTGACCCTAGGTTTCAAACTCATATCAATACAACGAAGTATGTTAACTCTATCACTGATACTGAGTGCTTTCCAATAAGTACCACGTATATATTATATATAAATAATATATAGAGAAATTATATATATATATATATATATATATATTATATACATATATGTGTGTGTGTGTTTGTCTGTATATGTGTGTTTGTATGTGTGCATGTGTGTGAAAGTTCTCAGAATAAATCTGTAGATAAATCGAATCGAATAAAATAGACAATCAGAAAATAGTAATTAGTATTCACCATTTGACTTTACCAAGGCAAGTGATGATAAACAAAAGCGAAATGTTGTTTAGTTAGATTAGATTTAAAAATTTTAAAAGACCTTCCTGTGTAAGCCTCTTTTTGGATATAAAAACTTTTCCATTTTTTTTTTTTTTACTAAGAGGTGTGATTTTGTTTTTCATGTTGACAATGTGTTATATATATATATAATTAGAAAATTATATATAATTAGAAAATATATATATAATTAGAAAAAATATATATATATAATTAGAATATATATATATATATATATATATATATATATATATATATATATATATAGGGTGTATCAAAAATACTTTTACAAAATTTTCGGAGCAAGTTCCTCGCACCAAAACAATGTCAAAGTTCATATATCCGCAAATCCTTCGTTTTTGAATTATTAAGTTTAAAGAAAGTTTTAAAAGTTTTTTGTTTATTAAAATTTTACTCCTTGTCTGAGAAAATTATTCATAATTTAGAAAATTAGGTTATTGAAATGAAACGATACAAAATGTCTGATGTTTTTAATAACGTTTGCCTTAAAGCACAATATCTGCCAAAATACACATACTATATATATATATATATATATATATATATATATATATATATATATATATATATATATAGGATTCATCAAGTTAACTGAAAAGTCAAGATAAATTACGGAGATGCTAAGTGACATAATTTAATGTCTAATAAACAACAGTGAGTAAATTATGTTGTTGTTGGTAGTAAAATGTGATGTGATTTTATTTGTTCTAATGTTAGTTTTCCAAAATGTTTAAATTTACGAGATGCTCATAAATATTCATCAAGTTAACTGAAAAGTCAAGGTAAATTATGGAAGATGCTAAGTGAGATAATTTAATAACTAATAAATGAAAGTGAGTAATTGATGCTGAATTTTTGCAAAATAAAATCCTCACATTTACCAGAAACATGTTGACTAAGATATGTTTTCCTCTTGTCGTTATTCATTACACACACACACACACACACACACACACACATATATATATATATATATATATATATATATATATATATATATATATATATATAATATGTATCCTTTGGCAAAACACAGACTTAAGTTGTAAAAATCTGCAAAAAAATACTAGAATCTGGATTGACTTCCATTTCTTTTTTACTCTACAATATGATGTCTGTCTGGACATTTACCAGCCATTTTGGACATTTTGGGAACTGTGGCTTTCATTCAAAGCAATCATAGGGGACCTTACTATACATGAATGAACACCTACTCTCTCTACTAGGTTATTTTGTTGGTTGGGAGATCCCATTGAGTGAGTATGTGTGCAGTACGTATTCTTGTATAGATCTTCACATCACCTGCATTTGTGAGCCCTCCTGCGGTCCAGAGTTGGCTTCATGTAACTTCTGAATTTTCCAAAACCAAATCGCGGGATAAAGGCAGCGCTCTGTAAGGTTAAAATTCACTCAGACATAAGACGTTAGTAAATATTTTCTTTTCTTTTTTACTGTTGTCGGTTTCATCGTTTAAGAATGATCGTGTCTTAACGCCCAATGTCTATTCTTTAAAGTATCGCATCGCCGCATTCATAAATATTCATCAGGTTAACTGAAAAGTTTAAGTAAATTACAGAGAATGCGAAGTGGCTTAATTTAATGTCTAATAAATGAAAGTTTGTAAATGATGTTTGAATTTTTTATGTAATTAATATTTAAATTATTTTAGAGAGAGAAATTATTAGCATAGAACTTACGGTTACATGTTTTGAGAAAGAAAGAAGGGTATGAAAAGGAATAAATTTAAAATGTTTTTTTTTTTTTAATTGGAATAATCGAGGTTTAAATTCTATTTTGTTTTGTTTTCATTGGTTACGTCAACGTCGATTGTGTGTGTTATTTTTCGGAGTAGAATTTAAACAGAATTTCGATATGGAAACAACTGCATAGTATTCCCGCTTCTCCAAATTTCTGTTGAATCTAAATAAATAGTGAAACATATCAAAAGGCTAAAGGTGGATATTTTAACGAGAGCAAAATTTAATCATAAATTTTTTTCGTTTTGGCATAATAAAATTACTAATAAAAAACATGTCGCATTTTTTTTAACTATGTATAATAATTTTTCTTTTATTTAAAGTACAAAACAATTAGTTTTGGGCCAATTTAAAAAATTAACAGAGGCTTTCCTCAAAATTTTAAACTGTAGTGTATACATACAAATATATATATATATATATATATATATATATATATATATATATATATATATATATATATATACATATATAGATATAAAGATAGATAGATAGATAGATAGATAGATAGATAGATAGATAGATAGATAGATAGATATGAACCAACTGTGACAGACAAGATAGATATGTATGAACAGAATGAGATAGATAGATAGATAGATAGATAGATAGATAGATAGATAGATAGATAGATAGATAGGAAGGGAATGAGATAGATAAATATGAATATATATATATATAGAGAGAGAGAGAGAGAGTCTGAGATAGATAAATAGATAGATAAGAATGAAATGAGATAGATATATATATATGAACATAGATATATAGATAGACAGATAGATAGCAAAAAAAGAAGAGTAGGAAAAGTCTAAGATATGTTTCTCCTAAATTGGAAAAATGTCAACATCAATTTTATAGTTATCAATGGCGTGGATACAGTTTCAAATTTGACATTTGTAAATACAAGCAAAGTTAAGATAACTTTTAAAAATCAAGGGTAGATTAGATACTGTATTTATATTATTAACAGGACTGCAATTTCTAAAATGATCTTTTTAAGTCAATATTTTTAAATTCTAAAAAAACAGTTGTTCTTATAGGAAGTCATAATAAATGTTAATGAAGAAAAATCAATCTTAAAAAATTCTCTATTTTATTTATTTTTAAGAGAAGATCATCTTCCTTCAGTAGTACTCGAAACAGGATTCCCAAACAAATGCCATTCTGAACGCAAACAACGGTTTTCGTATCTAATTAGTCGACCGAAATGTCATCGGAGGAAAAATTCCAATGGAAAAAAAAATATTCCTAAACTTTACGTAAAAGTAATGAAGCTGACGACGGAATAAACATATTTTTGCTTCTTTGATTAGGAGCAGTATTTTTTCCCTCGGTTTAGAATATAAGATTTGAATCAGCCTGGCTGATCGATATACCAACCACAAAAGCACCAGTTTGGAAGAAACAAAATCATGCCACCATGACCTTTATTCTGAGAGAGGGAAAAAATCAATATTGTTAATTCTAAAATTGACACCACACTCACATTCAAAAGAAGATTTTCTGTCTTTCTCAAAAGAGTCCGGTCAGTTAAAGGATGCCACTGTCATCCTCGACGAAGGTTACAGCTTCACAAAAAGGAAGATGAATAAAAATGATTGTTGTCACCACGTTGTCGATTATGGCCATCACAAGATATCATTACAAGACTCTTGAGACTTAGGATATTAAGCCATGTCTGTGCATAGAATTTTCAAAATGGAAGACGTCGCACTGGGCCAATCCCAGCTAGAACAGCATGTACCCTCAACCCTCCCCTCAAAAAGAAGCGGTCAACATCGTTGGACGTTATCAAGGGCACTTGGACGTGGTGTAATGGTTAACAAGCTTGTCTCGCTTGAATAATTACTACTGAGTAGTGAGTTCGATCCTAACTGTGCCCGCCAAACTTTCGGCCTTGTACCACATCTAAAGTACGCTTAGAAGATCCTTTAGGCACCCCGACGTGGTGTAATAGTCATCAAGCTTGTCTCGCCATAACAATTACGAATGAGTTCGATCCTCACTGGGTGCGCTATACTTTCGGCCTTGTGCCACACCTAAGTTACGTTTACAAGATCTTTTCGATACCTCAAAGTGGTGTAATGGTTAGCAAGCTTGTCTCACCAGAACAATTACGACTGAATAGTGATGTTGCAGGTACCCTAGTTGGATACTTTAACGAAAGTTAAGCGGTTCAACACGTGAGAAGTGGCCTACCGCGCCTGACAACAACCCAGGGATTTCTACATCCCTGCAGATAAAGAGGTAGAAGTCCAGATTTGAATATAAAACATCTAAAATATGTAGTCATTGAAAACTCTAGAACTTCCAATTATTTTGATTGCCAAGCGATCATGACTCTCGACAACTTTCTTTTTCGCGAGGCTCTTAGTAGATTGTCAACATTTGCTAAGATCTCCGCTCCCCTGTTCTGCCATCCATTCACACGTGCTCGTCAGGTAAATTTCTCGTTCCCCTATATCACTTGCCCTCAATATGCCCCGAGAGGGCTAAGTTTTCCAAGACTTCCTTCCTCTTTATGTATCCAAGGAATTTCAGCTATCTTTTCCTGATTCTGAGTAGAAGTATTCTTTCTATTGCCATTTTAAGACTTGCTCTCAATATGCCCTTTGAGGGTTAAGTTTTCCAAGCCCTCCTTCCTCATTATGTGTCCAAGGAATTTCAGCTATCTTTTCCTGATTCTGAGTGTTCTTTCTATTGCCATTTTAAGAGTTGCTCCCAATATGCCCTTTGAGGATTAAGTTTTCCAAGCCCTCCTTCCTCATTATGTATCCAAAGAATTTCAGCCTTTTTTCCTGATTCTGAGTAGAAGTGTTCTTTCTGTTGCCATTTTAAGACTTGCTCTCAATATGCCCTTTGAGGGTTAAGTTTTCCAAGCCCTCCTTCATCATCATGTATCCAAGGAATTTCAGCTATCTTTTCCTGATTCTGAGTAGAAGTGTTCTTTCTGTTGCCATTTTATTTCAGACTTCCTTGATGTTTACTGGCCTCGTCCATGGAATTTTCAGTATGCTTTTTTTAGAAGAGCATTTTTAAAGCGAGCAACTAACCTGACGAGCACGTGTGAATGGATAGCAGAACAGGGGAGCGGGGACCTTAGCAAAGGTTGACAATCTCCTAAGAGCCTCGCGAAAAAGAAAGTTGTCGAGAGTCATGATCACTTGGTAATCAAAATAATTGGAAGTTCTGGAGTTCACCTTTCTCCTTATCCACGGGGAGATTGTTCATCATTCACTGCCATATAAGAGGATGGATATCACATAGCAATTCAACAATCTTTTTCTTTTTTTCTAACGGTTTTTTTTCCGTTTCTCAACACCTTGGCCAGCATTTTGGAATCCTTAGTACGAAGAAAATTACACTTCCCTGGTTTTCCAAACGAAAAGAAAGATTCACTCCTAATGTTCAACATTTCAAATTATGGATTCTACCTGGAATCGAACCCTAATATCGAGTGTTGGAGATAAATTCACTGTTCATTGATAAATGTAAATACATTAAATGAATACATATATATATGTGTATCTATGCGTTCGTTCTCGAGCGTGGTGTAATGGTCAGCCAGCTTGTCTCGCTAGTTCAATTACAACTGAATCGTAAGTTCGATCCTCACTACTTGCCCTGTAATTTCGGCCTTGTGCCACACCTACACTACGCTTAGAAACTCATCATCTTCGTTCCTGTTATAGTATAGTCATAACTACAGCGACTTAGACGTGGTGTAATCGTTAGCGAGCTTGTCTCATATCAATTGCAACTGAGTAGTGAGTTTGATCCTCACAGTGTTCCATACTTTCTGCCTTGTGCTACATCTAAGCCACGCTCAGAAAATCTCTATAAGCATTAAACTTATAAAAACCTCTCGTTTAAACAATATGTTCATTAAGTGTAAGAAATGATTCTTTGAAAGATGTGAAATTACAGTCCTCTTTAATAAGTGTTGGGATAAAAGATCGAAGCGTTTTTTTAATGGGTAATGTTCGAACACTTGATTACATTTCACACGTGACTGAAATTTACGTCACTGGGATTTTTTTCAACAGTATTTAGTATTGTTTAATTTTTTTACGAGATTTACAAACACTACGTTTCGTTCAATTTCGCAAACCAATCGATGAAATATGAATAAACCGATTTGTATGGAAAATACTTTGACAAAAATCCTACTTCACGGTTTAATAATTAATTTAATTTAATTTAATAGGACTTCATAATAAACAACATTTTTTAACAAAAATATTTTTTCTTTTCTCCTTTTTAACAGCGAAGAATAAATAGGATAAATTAGGATTTCTTATTCTTGAGCATTCAACATAAAACTGGACATATGTAAATATTTCTTTCTATGATCAATTTTTTTAAGCGTGTTGCCTTGTGGTTTGTCTGTAGTTCTCGCAAACGCAGTGCGAACTGGAAACTTATCTATATATAACGCCCTAAACATACATATATATATAAATCCTCCTAATAATTTCTATCATGTGTATATCATTGCTTGAACCGGCTTCTAATGCTCTAGAGTGAGCGGCTTGGTGATAGTAGTCGTGGCTCCAGGGGCACAGTCCTATGGTTAGAGAGAATCTCAGTTGAGTTCCACCACGGAATATGTGAGCGAACGGCGCTATATTGAGTCTGACTTGCGATCTCTTCGTCACCGAGGCCCATTGGTATGATGTTTGCTTGACAACCTAACTGTCAGGGTTTCAATTCTCGGTAGTGGATGCGCACTGCTGATGAGTCCCAAATATAGGACGAAACGGCCGTCCAGTGCTTTTTGCATTCTGTTGAGGTTTCTTCTAGACTCGATGAATTACTTAATTTTATTATCTCAAATCCTCTTAATAATTTCTATCATATATATATATATATCTTGCTCCATATGTGGCCTCCTTTGTAAATCACTAGCGGGCCTTAAATGCTACTTAAGGTTATCACAAACTTTCATAACTGAATCAATAAGCAGTCAGATCCTCATACGTCAGGAAACCGACAAGAGAGTCCATTATTTTATATATATATATATATATATATATATATATATATATATATATATATATATATATATATATATATATATATATATATATATATATATATATTTGTACATGTATATATATCTGTGTGTGTCTTAAACAGCTGGACCCTAGTAAAACCAACTGTACGAATGTATGGATATTTTAGAGGGTGTGAAGGACGGACTAGCAGAAGTCACAGAATTTTATCTATAGATATTTTATCAGATCATTTATCAAACGTAGTTTTACATAATGAAAATTGTTCTTTGATTTTTGTAATTGTCTAGGTTCGTTCTCTCTTGCAGTATAAGGAAAATGTATATATTTTAACGTTTCATTAGTCACGAAGAAATTCTTGAATAACTCCTGTATATTTTAACAATAAGAATATATTGTGTTACTCAATTAAAAGCAGTAACTCGAAACCAATTTTTTATCAGTAGAGTGTCGACGTGGGCTCACTTGATGGGATCTACTTGAGGCATCAATTGACCTCAACTCTTTTTTTTTCTTGCAGTAAGGCCCATTCTTTACAAGGCCCGGAGGACACTCGAGGTAGAAGGTTACGTTAGGAGGGCATTTCTGTGTATAGGAATAGAATAAAACGTTTAACCCTAGCCTTGAACAGGTTAAGATTTTAGTGATCGGGTAAATATCCTGTCTGGAGCCGGTTCAAAAGGGCAGTAATTCGCAGGAAGAACCTACTCGGGTGGAAGTTACTTCTCACTGATGAAATACGGGTGGAATGTGGGGGGTTCGCTGCAATGTAAGTGGCACGGCGTGTTCTTGCCTTCATTCAAATCAATCATAGGGGACCTTACTACACATGAATGAACACCTACTCTCTCTACTAGGTTATTTTGTTGGTTGGGAGATCCCATTGAGTGAGTATGTGTGCAGTACGTATTCTTGTATAGATCTTCACATCACCTGCATTTGTGAGCCCTCCTGCGATCCAGAGTTGGCTTCATGTAACTGAATTTTCCAAAACCAAATGACTCGGATAAAGGCAGCGCTCTATTAAAGGTTAAAATTCACTCAGACATAAGACGTTAGTAAATATTTTCTTTTCTTTTTTACTGTTGTCGGTTTCATCGTTTAAGAATGATCGTGTCTTAACGCCCAATGTCTATTCTTTAAAGTATCGCATCGCCGCATTCATAAATATTCATCAGGTTAACTGAAAAGTTTAAGTAAATTACAGAGAATGCGAAGTGGCTTAATTTAATGTCTAATAAATGAAAGTTTGTAAATGATGTTTGAATTTTTTATGTA